CACATACACATACAGAGACAGACACACTCACAGGCATCGAAGTTGACATATGACTGTAACTAACCAAATCACTTTATACCCGATTAAAGAGGTGCTAAGCTTTCGTTCGTCATATGACGGACACCATCAGAGCAAGGTATCATCGCCACAACCAAATTCGAGCTAACGAGGCAGATGCTGCTTCCTCGAGACCTGGAATAAATTGGGGTTTAATTTCAGCATTTCATGTCGCTGTTAATTAGGAATGGGAGGAGCACATATCTCTTGTGAGAGCAAGCTGCTATTGCACATGGCCTGAAGCGCCTGGCATTTTCTTGCATCCAGAGCGGGCTGCTTCGAAGACAAAGCCTTCCCGAAGAGGACATTGCTCGGACCTTTGATGAATGACACTGGGATCGAAAGAGCCCGAGAACCATGAGGCTGATGGCCGAAGTTTTGGTAGCCATTCCCAAAAGAAATAGGGTTCAAGGCCAGGTTGCGGAGATGGCATCTGATGGTGGTGTGCTGGAGAGTAGGAATGGCGGTACCCCCTGAACATTTGGGCGAGGCTGTCAAAGCCAATCAAAGCGACTGCCATCCACTCCCTGAGCTGAGTCACTTTGGTGGAGAGGGCTTCTGACTAATCCAATCGAGCCCGTCAGGCCCATCAGACGCCAATACGAACTTAAGACGTCTCAAAACGGGGACAGAATGGCGCCTTGACAGGGAGGCTTCAAACCTAATCTAGTCTTTCATTCGAGTAGAGGACACATTTTCTCCATTTTTCACTCAATCGTCCTCATCCTCAGAGAGGAGGTAGGAAAAAGTGCTGACACTCAAGTCTGCCTATTCCGTACGCCCAATCCCTTTTCTTTTAAATTGCTAGTCTTGGCATAGGCCAGAGCCAAAAGGCGATCGTCTCTGATGTACTTATCATTGCATACTCAAGCATATGCCGTCTAATGGGAAATGACCCCTTTGCCCTCTACCTCCATTTTTCTGTCATCCTCTAAAGAGACGTGTAATCGTGTCCTGACGATACGTGCTTCCCAAAAGGTGTTTCCAGCCAGAGTGGAATGCGGTCTCGATCTCGTATGGGAATCGAGTCCTGATGGTACAGCGCATAATCTCAACATTTTATTACCGCGCCACACTCTTACGAGTGTCAGACCATAAGTGGATTTCAAGTGAGAGGACCTTTTTGGAGGCAAAGCTAGGTTATTTTAAGTGGTATGGTGAGTTCTGCTCTTATTATTTTAGGGAAATTTACTATTAGTCCTTCTCCACTTTAATGTACTTGAAGTGACTAAATCTTTTTCTCAAGATCCACTGTAAATCTCGAAGTCCTAATCATTATAATTACGTTTCATTTCCTTGAAAATATGTAGATCTTTCTTACAAGCTCACTCTTGAACACTCAGACATGATCAGACATCCCAATTTCCTGCTCTATCGTCTTGAAGTTGATGATCTTCTGCTCGGTTGTCAATACACTGACGCATGGGATGATCGGAAAACTTAAGTTGCACTAACTCTGCCTTGCTTTCTGCGCGAAGCAAAATATTAGGCGCTTTAAACTGTCGTGACTTGATAAGAGATTTTCTATTGACACTGGGCACCTACGGTTCTTATGATGCTCCATGAAAACGTACTGTAGCTTCTTATTCCGGGTTGTTACATTTCCCAAGTCTGCCAGCAGGAAATTTATTTGAGCCCATCTTTGAAAGCACTCTGATTCGAAATGATTGCCTTTTGTAGTTATTATCTTACTTATTTTCTCACTTTTAATTTCTGCCAGAGTAAGTTATCAAAATGATGTACAAGAATAGATTTTAGCGTTAAAATTTAATATGATTCCTCTTTGAAGACGGCTTTTTACTTCCACTCTTTTGCCATTGGTACACTCGGCCCCCCCCTCATCTGTAAATAAGCCAATTCGTTGATCATGTCTACCCTTGCAGAGGACGCAGGACTGGATGCGTTCTTCCGAAATCTCCCTGAGACTAAAATTATATTCCGAAAGCGAGTCCAAACCATCGAAAACTCTTTGTATACAATTTTTCCTAGCACCGCACCTTCTGGTCTTGCAACTATGACCCTCCAGGCGTTTGATTCTACGAGAATTTGCCTTTTCAGAAGTTAATGTGAA